AGCGGACGAGGGCGGGGGCAGTCAGCTCAGCGGCGCGAAGGGCGCGGCAGTCCGCGGGGAGGCTGAGGCTGTGGAGACTTCAGAAATAGGTTGGAGATGCCAGGGCAAGGTTTACGGGCGACCTCAGTCGGCTACATGCGGCTCAGCGGGAAGAGGGAAGGCGAGGAAGGAAGCGAAAGAAACCCAATCATCGCCATGCACTGCTGGGGTCGTAAAAGAGTGATCCTCGACAGCGACGGGGTTCATCCATTGCAGCATGTAGGAAAGTTGTTCAAGCCTCGCGCGACCTCAACCTGGGAGTTAATGTCAGTCCGGCCAGTGACTCCCAGGCGAATGGTGAAGTCAGCAGGGCGTTCGATAAAGGTCCACTTGGGACATCAAAGAGTGTCTCGGGCGGGAAACAGGGTATTGAATCCTTTGAAGGGCATGCCCTTGCACGTTGGTAGCGCCCCGTGCGCGTTTTTCATCGAAAAGTTCGCGGTCGGCGCCGGAGACAAGACGGCCCGCGAGAGGTGCCGACAGCGGAAATTCAACAAACAATTGCCCGCGTCTGGAAAATGCGTCGCGCACTTAAAAGCTCCACTTAACGCAGGTGGCAACAATCGCAATGCAAGGTGCGGGAGTGATATAAATTTCTTGGAATACATGACCAGCCGAGAGTTAATCGCTGGCATTCCAGAGGGCGCCATCGAGTCTCGCGAGACCAGGCATTAAGGCAGTGATGAGGAGTAATGGAAAGTAAATGAGTTTCGCGACATGACAGGTTTACCCTGGCAACTAGACCGGCGCGCGCGTGGGACGGGGGCTCGAGGCGGAGTGACTTTGCCAATTGCACAGCCCAGTCATGGTCTAGCTGCAGATGCCCAGCAGTTAGTGGCTCGAGGAAGCACAGCGAAGACGTCGGAGCGCCTGGCCACGGGGCCTGCGCCGGGCCGTCGCGGGCGCAAAGATATCGCCAGAGGAGACGCAGCCCACGAACCACATAGCGCAAAATGTCGAGAAAGCTCTGTCGACTGGCCCTAAAGACAAGACGACCCAAACACCCAATAGAGATAGGCAGCTGCTCAGACGAGGATGGGACCCGGCGGCCCCCAGCAGGGCAAATATAGGGAGGATACATGGGTAGACGACTGGATTGTTGAGGGCGAGTTAGCCATTTGACGGGATCGCGAACCCAGAACCAAAGTGCATGCGCCTCGAGACATGGGCGTAATAACCCCCAAGTGATTGAACCACGCGACGCCGGCGCGTTTAATTTACCGGGAATTCAGCGACAAGGAAGACACAACCGACGATTGGAAAGATGAAAGTGGCATGGAGTTACGAGATCTTTGGACAGGATGGATTGAGTTCCGCGATGCAGGTTGCACCGCCAAGGTCAGCAGCAGCATAGAGAAAGGAAGAGGACCTTGGATACCATGGGGGGATCAGAGAAGTTTGGCAGAAATAAAAGGAGGACGAAGAGATGCAGCAATGGAGGCCAGGGGCTGGGGGGGGCGACGGGGCCCGGCGAGGAGCGAGCGGGCGCGCGCGCGAGCAGGTAGACAGATGACAGGACATTTTGAACACCGATGAGGCGCGCGCCGGGTTAAACATGATGGGGTCGACACCGACGTGGCGGAATGGTTCCCCGGCGCTGATTTGGGCGCCGCCGAACAAGTCAACGACGCCCAGAAAGGCGTCACCTTATTCGCCAGTCCGAGTCACTGGCGCGTTGGAAAAGTTGGGCCCATGCTGGGCTTAGTCATGGACTTGACTACGCGCGATGAATATGGAAACCCATGGGATTCCAGTTGCGAGGCTACGCGAGCAATGGCGAAGAAAACCATCCAGAGCAAGGCCGCGTCATTGTTCATGGTAAGTCCACCACGCGCAGCCTTCAGCAGGATGCAAGCGTTCAGCTCGAAAGGACTTGGGCCAGAAACGATCAAGGGAAATCTGCGGCGTTGAACGCATCGTGTTCGCGCTGGACTTATTCGGTTCAGAAGCGCAGTGGGCTATACTTTCTATTTGAACTCCCTGCGGGAGTCTCAAGTCGGACCGCGTCGCACATGTAGAGAATGTCAAAGTGCGAAGGTGCGCGCGCGCAAGTAAGGGGGGCTGCCCGCGCTGACGCGACCTGAAGAAGGTCGCTAATGGAGAGGATGCGCGAGTGCACAAGCCCACTTGGCCCATGACTAACAGCCCCTGCGTCGGAAGGGCCCGCAGCGCGAAACGCCGAGGTCATCGTCGACATTTCGAGTTAGCTGGAGGATGCCGAACAATGGAATCGGAGGCATGCCCGGACCCGCAATGTCGAGCTATGCTCGATGGCCAGGTCATCTAGACGACGGCCGACGACCGATTGCGGGGGCTCTTTCAGAGCCTGCGACCCGAGAGTAAACTGGGGCGAACCAGACAAGATATTGCAAGTGGATGAGGTTATGTACGGATTCGATGAGAGTGGGAGTCGTCCCGCGTTAACTTGGACCAGGAGAGATCACGGCGCAGCCCACCTGATGCCCCGAGAAGCCCAATGCCAGCATGGAGTTCATGCCTGCGCAGAGCAACTCAGGTTTTGGACTCGGAGCAATCACTTGACGGCGCGAGGGTATGTGACATCCGGGGGGGGGAGCGGGGGGGGAGCTAAGAGAGTGGGGCGGGTGCTCTTGCCGCTCCTTTCTTTTGCTGGGTTGCACGGGGCGCCCTGCCGCGCCAGTGGATTCGTGGACCGCGCCGACCCCGGGCTTGGCTGAGAGTTCCAGGGGCCTGTGAGGCACGTGGAAGCGTTGCGGAAGTGCGGCCAGTTACCTGGGGGGGGCAATATGCGAGGTCCACCGCGAAGACTGTCAGTTACGTGCAGGGGCCGATGTATCAGGCAGCGGGCTCGATCCGGAATTCGCGTTAAGAGCTCGGGTTGGGGGGTGCCGCTTCAGGGGGCGCGAGGACTGCGGGAAAGTGAAGGAGGGGGAATGCTGGTCTGCTACCGGCACAGCCCCCACAGGTACGAGGTGGCTCGTTAGTAATCAGTGCTACGAAGCCAACCCTCAGCACCGACCCCGGCTCGTGGCCCAGCAAGCCAAGTGCAATTCCAAAGAAAAGAGCGCATTCCCAGCCACCCCATCCATTGGAAGCCCAGCAATATTCTCCATGGCAGTAACCGAGGGAATAGGGCATGACCGATGGGGGGCGCGAGAGGAACCCAAGCTGAGATTTATAGACGCTAAGCGGGCATACTTTTTCGACGGGGCCATGGGGATCATTTTATTAGGTTACCCTAAGAAGATCTTGAAATAGGCATGTAGAAGTCTATTCTGTTCCATGTAGCGCATTCGGAGCGCCGCCAGCAGCGGGGAAGACTGTTGCGTGGATTTTGCACGCGGCATTGGTTGTGACAAAGGGGGGATACATCACCGCGCATGTGTAAAGCACGTGGCGCGGCGAATCTGGCCAACCGTTCTTCGAGACGAACCCACTGCATTAGCATGCGATATGGATTTTGATTGGCTCGAAGGATGCTTCACAGATTGTGATGGATTCAATCCAGGGCAGACGGGGGCCAGGGCCAAACGGTTTGAAGTCCAGAAGGATTCCCGACCGAATTGTGGAATAAAACCGCGCTGGGTTATGGCAAGAGGTGGACTAAAAGCGTGCATCTGCGTGAGATGCCAGGTGGAAAGCCGCCTTGCAAAGGAGAAGACGAGGAGCCATTGCAAATCCACCAAGTTAAGAAATTCCAGGCTTTGGTGCCCAGGGTAAACTATCTGGCGCAAGACCGCTCAGATCTGCAGTTCGAAGTTAAGGAGCTCGCGCGCTCTACGTCCGCCCCAACCTGAGGGGCATGGGGAAGCTCGGCAACGCTGGGCAAGTACCCCAATAACCACGACAGGTGTAGGTAGCATTATATTCATCAAGAGCGCCCTAAAGAGTACAGCGCATGGACTGACATCGGCGATGCTGGAAGCAAGACAACGCGTAAGTCAACAAGCGGAGGAACAGTAATGCGGGGGTCACAGTTGATCAAGTTTTGGAGTTCGACTCCGAGTGTAGGGGCATTATTTTCTGGAGAAGCAGAGTATACCGGAATGGTGAAAGGCGGCTCCGAAGCTTTAGGGCCACAAGCAATTCTCACAGACTTCGGCGTTGATTGCGGCATCTCTTTGAACAGCAATGCCGGCGCGGCCGTTGCCACAGCAAGTCGGCGACGGCTAGGACAAGTCAGACACGTCGAGATTTGTATTTTTTGTCACGTGAGCATGGACGACGAGGAGACATCAAAACAATCAAAGTAGGATATCACGAGAACCTTGCAGAGGATTTGATGTAATACGTGGGCAGGGAAAGCGTGTCCATGCACATGCGAGGTACCAACCCACAGCTTTTCGACGGAAGACACGACCTGGCGCCCACTACGGAGTACTAGCTCAATCCATATCCGGAGTATCACCGCGTGCCGCTTTGCACGGGACCTCAGTTCAGTATCGGATGAAATCCAGATGCTCTTCTACGCGATCAAACCGAAGCGACTGAATATATTAAACGTCTTGTGTGGTTAGGTCATTGCGACATAAAAAACAGTGCACTTCTTGTCAGGAGGCCCCTGCACTGTCACGCTCAAATCATAGCCGCCTTCTGCTTTTACCTGTTATGCATTTTGCTGCTTCACCATGTGATTCGTCATGCTGGAACGGAATCCTGGCTTCGCTGCTTATTATTTTCGAACTTGTCCGTCACCCGACCGCTTTTGCTATTTACATTTCGCCCGTCTCCACGTTCGGCTCAGCAGCCGAGGGGGGGGGTCTAGCGTGCCAACTGGGTGAGCAGCGTGCGCTGGTGAGCCGTGAGGAAGCGCCCGTTCGGCAGCTGCGTTTTGTTGTATAGCAACTCTCAGGGAAGTGTCCGGCCAAGCTTTCTCCAAAGACTTCGCCTTTGGCTCAAGTGCTGTTTGCCTCCAGGGGAAAAAAGGCTTTTATCATATCTTTAGCAGCAGGAGGCCCGGCCGAACGTGCATTCCGCGGCAGGAGAAGCAGTACGGGCCCTACCGGGTCTGCTACGGGGAGGTGCTCCCAGGGACAGACGTCTTCGATTGCCAGCCCCTGCAGCTCGCCGGGCAGGCGCGCTTCCCCTGCTTTTCAGAGTCGCCTCCTGCTCCTCTCGAAGACCACCGCTCCTGCTCGTGCAACGCCTCCTGGTCTTCCTATCCTCATCGTCTTCCCCTTCCCTCATCCTCCCTCTTCCGTTGTCGTCGTCGTCCTCGTCCTCCACCTCTTCCGTTATTTCCACGAGTTCTATTTGGATTCGTCTGCCAGTCGCAGCCGAAACCTCATTGTTCGACTGTGGTTTCCGAGCCTGCTTTGAGCCGTACTGATGGGTGTTTTCAAAGGTGGCCCTACAGCGGGCTGGTTTTGCAGGCTGATCGATTAACCGACGGTTGGGTTCCGAGAGCGGCAAGGTGGCGGTCCATCTTGCGCTCGACATTGCCTTCCCCAGTGACGTTTGTGTCCGCTGTCTGAGCAGCGACTGGACCGACAAGGCCAGGAACTTGGGGGCGGCATTACATCATGATGCATTATTTGGCGGATACCGTCGGCTGGAGCGGCTCATACTTTTGGCGCGAGCAGAGGTGCTACTCTCTGCGCGGTGCCTGCCACGGTGAGTTCCATAGTCTAGAAGAAGTGGATGCCGCCGCATTCAGCTGCTGTCGAGAAGTCCCCTCCAAAGCCGCACATGTGGACGCGAGTGGGCAGTTTTCGGCAGGGCCCTGAACGTTTTCGTGGAACCCTCTCTCAGGAGATGCCCCTTCCTGGTTGGTGCTTGAGACGTCTTCTTGTCCAACATTCTAAGCTCCGCGAGCTTGGAAACGGATGTGTCAGCGAGGCGACTATTTCACCGCCGGTGTCAGGCTTGCTAGGCACGCGCAGACATGCAAGCCATTTGAGTTTCCACACCTTTTGAACAAACGGGCCAGCTCGGCTGGGAGCTCCATCCGACGAGAGCCAGGGTCACAGAGAACCTTTGAATTGCTCGCCTCATCTAATTCACTGGGGGCATTGGCCGTGGATATGCTGAGCTTTTGTCACTTTCTCGCAAGCTCGGGGATAAGTGTCGCGAGCCCCCCAGTCTCGGGGAACATTTTGATAACATGTATTCATGCGGGATCCTGGCCCAAAGTTCTCAGCACAAATGAGCGCACCCAGGGACGTAGCAGAGCAGCACCACAGTAGGTGTAGGCCGACCTATATTCATATCGCTACGCGGTCAAGCAGAGTCTCCAGAGTCGCTGTTCCCACCCGCCCTCATCCATCCTCTCCCCGCTATTTCCGTCCGCATATATGATTTGTTCACTATGCGTCCCAAATTTCCCGACCGCTTCCCCCGGGGTAGTTTTTCGTCCCAGGTTTATTTTTGATGGTCCTCGTACCCGAAGGGGCCACCCGAGGGCCAAGTCGAATAAAAGCCGCCAGTTGACAGAAGCATCGGTGGAGATCTGGGTCCCCGTCCTCCTCCATACCGCTACTCCCCAGTCCTCTCCCAGGGTGTGCTCTGACGATAGTTTCGAGGAAAGTCGAGACGCGGCGATGCGGGCTTTCCAGGACGAGCAGCGCTATCGGTACTTTCTCCTCTCCCGAATTTCCGTCATTCTCCCTTCTCGTCCTCCCTCCGAGAGGTTTCGGGCGCCATACCAGGGACGGCGAACTTCTCGCGGGGCGGGCGGCCACGCGCGCTGGCCCGCGCCCGTGCAGGGCGGACAGGACCCCGCCGCGCCCAGCCGACGCGCGCTGCCATCGCCGGTGCCTGTGCGGCCCCGGCTCGGCAGCACGCCGCAGAGCGACAGTAGCAGCAGCTCGTCCCCGCGCTCAAGAGGCCGAAGTGCTGAGCCCGCGTGACACCGTCGAGCCCGCCAGGCCAGGGCGCAGGCGCGTGTCCTCCTGCGACTGGCATCGGCGGCTCGGTTGTTCGGCGCACACCACAACGCGGGCCCAGCCATGCAGTACGACAAGGGTCGAGGCAAGGGCAGTGGACGTGCGGGTGCATCAGGAGGGAGTTCGACGAGAATCCAGCCGCCGTGGCACCCATCAGTGCCGCCCCCGCCGCCTGGCTGGTGGTGTGAAGGATGTGGGCAACGCCATCAACCACACGTGCTGCTGTGCCCGACCTGCTACCCAGCCCCAGCAGGCCCAGTGGGTGGCGGGCAGAGCCAGCGGACAGAGAGTGATCGACGCAAGTCCCCGACCGGCTCTCGTACCCGTCGAAGATCGAGCCCTCGACGCCGCAGCAGACGTAATGATGATGAGAAAGTGACCGCGCGCAAGCGCTCAGTAGACAGATCGAGTTCGAGACACCGCGTCAGGTTCGAGGATGAAGCTGACAGTGAGCACGACGGCCATGGCTCAGAAGGTGAAGGGACGGCGACAGCGGCACTGGGCATTTTGCCAGCCTTGACGCATGAGGCTCGCCGACACCCTGCCTCGGTGGAACCGCCGGTCGACGAGCGGGACCTCCCCGCGCACCGCAAATCATCGCGCGCTTGCGGCCGCAACAGGCAAGAAGCTCGCAGTCGCCAAGCAGCTCGGGATATCTCCAGATCAAGTTGCCAGGCAGCGAAGCTACGTCAACAAAATGCAGGCTAAGTTCGACAAGGCCGAGCTGCATGTGAAGCGCTGCCAAGAGCAGCTTGAGGCGGCTGAGGCCAAGCGTGTACGGCGCGAGCACGAAGTTCAGCGAGCTCAGGAGTTGCTAGCCCAGCTCGAGGAGCTCAGCCCGTCGCATGCCCCAGCGTCGCATGGATAATAATATCAGATCATGGGTGATACTGGACTGCGACACCACCTGCCCCGGCAACACCGCCAGCAGGTGTCGCCGCCATCGCAGAGCTGCAGACGAGCCAGGTCTGATTTCGTGAACTGCTTGCAGCCCTGACAACGTTGCTCACGACGCTGCAGTCGAACATCGTCGCTGGACGACAGGGAGGAGCAGCTGCAGGTGTTCACCCCAGTGGAGGTGCTCCCGGGGCCCAGCCTTTTCGGAGGACAGGCCCAGCGGCCGGGCCCGCAGGCGGCAGCCGCGGCGCCAGCTCCCCCCCCGCAGCCGCCGCCGCTGCGGGCCATCAGCAGGCTCCGCAGCCGCGCGCTGCCACGGGAGGAGCCGCGCCGCCGTCGCCAGCAGGCCGCCCCCCGCAGCGGAGGCCAGTGCTGCAGCATCGCCAGCAGCGACGGAGGTGGACTCGGCACATGATGATGCCGAACCAGCAGCAGCAACAGCAGCAACAGACGACGAGAGAGTCGAGATCCTCCGCGGGCAGGCAGCAGCTGCGAGGAAGGCCAAGAAGGAGTTCGAGAAGTCGCGTCGGCCGCCAGGACAGCCGACGCTGCGAGCATCGCTTGACGCATCACGTCGTGGGGCCTGTACCGGGTGACCGCATACCAGTGCCAGCTGGCAGGCGCGAGCTCGAGGTCGAGGCGGGCATCGAAGTCCAGCGGAGGCCACGACGCGGCAGGGGTCGGAGCCCGCGCAGACAGCGGGACGGAGACTTCGACGTTGTCGGCTCGACAGCCACGTCGGAGTCGGGGCGGCGTTGACTCGCAGGCCGCCCGGCGAGGAGCTGCAAGCAACAGACGGCCTGCAGCCCGGGCCGCCCGAGGCAGCTGGCATTGAGCGTCGTGAGCCAGCCACGAATCACAGCCCTGATGGTCATCGGATGGAGTTCGATGGTTTTCCAGTTCGCCCACTGGGACCGATCCCAGACTGTCGCGAGCTCGTGCGCGGGCTGATCGCAGCCTGGGTTTCAGCAAATTCTCTCACTCCTTTCTTTCTTGGGCCCGATCGAGGTCCCGAGTTTTGCATGTTTCATCCGTGCTCTCATACCAGCGCAAGACAGCTTTTTGAGACAGCCGAAGCCTTCCCTATCCCAGCCACATCAGAAATCGTGCGTTACGTGATTTACACTGATGGCTCTGGAGGCTCTACGCAGGCGATCTTGGGTTGTGTTTCTTTGGAGTTACTGTAGATGTAATATATCGGTGTGATGGGTACCTCTGTGGGACAGACTCAGATCTATCCAGCTCCATGCGCAATGTATCTGGCGCGGCAGAATTTCAAGCCGCCCTTTGGCTCACGTCAATGTGCAGCGCGTGGCATACACCTAGTTGGAACCATAGAAACACGCATGCGACACAACACATGGACACCCGCTGGCCAGCATATTGTTGTTGCAGCGGCTTCAGAGACGAATGGTGTTGGAAGCTTAGCGTTGTGGGAAAATGTAGAGTTGCCGTATATAGGGGCACTTGCAGTGGCACGCAGACACATCTCGTCTTGGTTGCCATACGAGCACCTAGCATGTGCATCGACGTACTTGTGGGCCATGCACCGCGCTCGCGGCGAGATGGGGCGGAGATTTCAGCATGGCGGGATGGAATTGAGCGGCGCATTGCATGTCGCGCGCAGCCTGCACCTCTCCATCGCCTGCTCGATGCCAACGCTACTGTCGGATCCCAACAGTCAGTGCACATTGGTGGCATGGCGCCCGAAGGGCAAAATCAGGCCGGACAGAGATTCCACGAGTTTCTCAGGAGAACAAATCAAGCGGCCCCTGGTGCAGTCATCGAATCCTACACTGGTGTTTATGGGACCTGGATGCCACCTGGAGTTTCTCAGGATATACCGCTTCATTGTATAGGCTATATGACCACGCCGCTCGATTGTGCGACAGCCGCGGTACAGTTCGGCGTCGATATCAATCTGGGCCTATGGTTATGACAGGACGACCACTTTGTTGTTGCAGCGGATATCCGCATCACCTCAGCCACCAACACTCCCGAGGCTATACACTGGCACAGACCACAAATGGACCCGCTCAAGCTAACAGACCCTGTCTACCAGGACCTGTTTGCTGATGCGCTCAGAGCGGTCCCACAGCCCAGCTACAGCACCCACCCAGATGAACATGCCCAATTCCTCAACGAACACCTTCTCCAAGCAGCGCCAGAGGCTTTTCCTGTAGCTGAATCGGAGACTGGACGACAAGGACGGCGCACCTGGATATCCGAAGGTTCTCTCGCCCTTATGGACAACAGGACTGTCGGCAGACGTGCTCTCCAACAGATGCATCTAC